AACAGAGCAGCAAATGCTAATTTTTTTCTATCAGATTCGTACAGATTAGCCTGAAAGTTGATTTGTTTTTTCTTTAAACCTCATCGCTTTGCTTTCATGCCTGTTTTGTTTAAAACAATTAAAGGCAGCTTTAGCAATAACAGAGACAACTTCAGTATAAAGCCTGGAACCGGTTAAAACCCAACAATAATAAGTTAGGTTGGAGAAACCAGCAGTTTAACATTCAGACTGCAGCATCTGTCCTGCTCCATTCATCCCTATGTCATCTGGTTCCTTTATTCCTCTCTGCAGAATAGAACTCCATTAGCCGCTGTCTGTATGGACCAAACAAACAAGCAGCTTCTTGGCAGGTACAGGAATGTAACTCATTAGCACTAATTAACACATAACCAAGCTAAAAAAAAAAAAAAATGTCTTTGGCTCCAGCTCGATAAATTCAAATGAGATTAAATGTTTTTCTCACTTTCAATGGTGGAAACTAAAGTTGGACGCCTAATTTGTCTTCAGCAGGGATGTCTCATCGTCTTTACAGCTTTTACATTTAGCTGTGTTTACGCTTGGAGCACACAACAGGTAGATCCATGGTCATGACCGACTATTAGCATTTAAGGAAAAAAAAGACAGATAAAATTGAAGCTGGAAGTTGCATAAACAGGTCGAACTTACTGCTTCATTAGGCTCAAAATCAAAAAAGTAAAAAAAATAATACATACCAAATATATATTAGATTTTTACTAAGAAACTTTATGTTAACAAACGGCACTCATTTTCACCTCAGATAACCATCCAGACCTTCGAAGGATTTAGGATTACACTCCGTCCTCAAGTAGTAGTTCCTCTATCTAAATGTAGAGGTTGTTTCTTCATCCATAATAGAAGTGTTATTAAAAACCTTTTCTTCCAACAAATGCTACTGTGGAAGCGTATTTTTCCTTGACCTATTTGTGAGATAAAATATTTTGAGTGTGCCTTTTCTCTGCCTAAATAGGGGTGATTGTTTAGAAGTCTTGTACCAGTTTGTGTGGTGGAGTTAACTTATATGGGGAATTAAGAGGGAGATGACAGAAAGCAGTTGCCTCCCTACTCTTGACAAGGGTGAAGGGAGGGCCATGAGAGTTAAGAATCAGTTCACACAGCCTCCTTCATGCCATGAACGGGAGTCCATTTTTGAGTGTTTATCTGGCAAAAAGTTATGTCCTTGATGAAAAGTATTTTTTTTTTTTTGGTAATAACCAAATGTTTGTGTGTTAGAAAGTTCTTTATGTAGGGGTGGGATAGTTCCAAGTGAGAGTGTGTGATTTGGGCATTGCTATAAAAATGTATGTACTGAGCTTTGCCCACTCAGAAATCTCTCCATCTGAGGATGTTAAATAGATTTGAATATTCTCTTGCAAGAGTCTCTGCCTCCTCCTCAACTCCGCACTACGTTCACACAGCAGCCTGAAGTGACCCAAATCCGATTTTTTTGCCTATATGCGACCTGTATCTGATCTTTTCATGACAGTCTGAACAACACTGAACCAACTTTTTCCAATATGACCCAGGCCACTTTAGTATGTGGTCCTGAATCCAACCTGCGTCTGAACGGCCAGGTCGCATTAACCCAACCTGAATGTCGTTAACACTCAGCAAAGGTCACTATTCTGCGTCTTCCAACGCAGAAGCAGGAAGAAAAACAACAACAATGGGGGACGATTATGCGGGGAGCAATCTTTTTTTTTAACCAATGAAAGATTGCTATATGCGCTCCATCACTACCATCCATGCTTGCTTCCATAAATACAGACCACGCTTGCGTCCTCTACTGCGCATAGGGCACAGTTGTGTTTTATGAATGCAGTTCACACAAAAGTCACACATATTTGGAAATGTGAATGGCAATCCAAAAAAAAAAAAAAATTGGGATTTCACAAAGAAATTGGAATTGAGCATTAAAGTCTTAGGCAAATGGCTGTTCCAATCGTTGTGTTTCCAAATTCTTCTGAGTGGTACACGACTAGGGTTGGGAATTGAAAAGATTTTCACGATTCCGATTCCCTTTTCGATTCTATGAAACGATTCGATTCTTTATCGATTCTTTTTTCGATTCCAATTTGGGGAAAAAAGGAGAACAAACAGTTTGATTATCAGCATCAACTTTGTTTACTTAACTATTGCACAATCTTACAAAATCAACAAGTGAGGGATGTCCACAGGAAATGTGAAACTGGAGTAACATCCGTGTTTAAATAAAAAATGAATACAAGAACAAACTTAATAACCAACAATGTCTAATAACAAATGATGGGATAATAACCTATTTTAAATAACAAAAAATACTAGTTATAAAACAGTAGTAGGGAAAATTAACAGTTCTTTTGCAGAAAGATGAGCATATCTGCTTTTTCTGGAAGGATACGGGATCTTTCAGGGCTTATGGTGTCTCCAGCCGTGGAGAACACCCTCTCAGATGGGGTGGAGGAAGCCTGCACACAGAGGTAGTTTTCAGCCAGTCCAGATAGCAAGGGCAGCGTATCTTGCTTGTTCCACCACCACAGTGTGGCGCTATCCCTGCAGGGGATGGAGGGCAAGCTTTTATAGAGCTGGATTTCCTGATCTACCCTCTGGGCTAAGGAAAGACGGGGCTTTGATTCACAAAGTGACCGCAGCTCGTTGTCTTCCTCCTCGAATAGTTCTTCCAACTTGCGTAACTTGCGTAACTTGCGTAACTTACGTAACTTACGTAAAAAACGTGACGTAAGTCGTGCTCCCCAGAGCCGGCGCTCTATGCTCTGGTGCTGCGGGAATCGAAAAAAGAATCGTTCAGAGAGCTGCCAAACGATGCCATGGAATCGGAAAATACGGAACCGGTTCTGAACAGGAACCGGTTTTCGATTCCCATCCCTATACACGACTTTACACAAGTGAATAGGTGAATGTGTTTGGTCGTTTATCAAGAGGGCAAGGTTGTTATACCGGATGGTTCACAAGCAAGTTTGATTGTGGCCGGTCTCTCGAAAGCATCTTGCTAACCAGTAAACAGCTTAGCTCTAGTAGGTTCCCAATAGGAAATTCCATTGGCACCAAGTAGCACTAAATTGATGACTTAGAAACGACACTATCAAGGAACGCTATGGACAGAGGAAACATGCAAGAGGAGGAAAGTTTAGTGTCAGAGGTTGTGGATAAGTCTCCTCCGTCATACATTTTTTATTTAGAGGAAAAAAGCGGGACGAGGATGTTGTGGAAGAGGACGCCAGGGCGGCAGAAGCTTGGTTTGGTGTAGAAGGCTTCCAGCCGTACATGTTTGAGCCCTTGCCTCGCAACGCTGCCAGTTCTGTTAGCTCTACGCCTGCTGAAGACACAGACGTCCATCCCCCTGAACACTGGGACGCATCTCAATGGGAAAGGAAATGATTCTCATTTCAACCGTTGCGTATATTAACTGCGACATATGAATCAAGATGCTATGACCAAAAAAATTGATTGACAGATGACCGTTGATATTTGATTGGCCGAATTTAGGTGTTCAGTCTGATGTATAACTAACTGGCCTGCATGAGATAATTTTAATATAAATAGTCTAATAAAAAGTGCATTTATATACATGCTTAAGCCAGAATGATTTGACATTTAATTATGATTACCTTACAACTTTAAGGCCTGCAGAGTGAACGTAGCCAAAGACTCTTTTTGGGGGGAGTGTGGGGAAAAACACTTGTCCTCTTCACCTATTTTTTTTTTCTTATCAAATTCACCCAAATCCCCTCCTTAAGGTTCTTTTTGGAAAAAAGAAAGAAGCTTACTCCATCCTCTTCATTGCTGCCAATAAAGCACCACATTCAAATATTCCTATTAGACAATGGCTCACAAAGACATTTAAGGTGGCGTAATGCCAGTGTTTTTTTCATTGACTAAATATGGAAGAAGACGTCTGGTTTGAGGGCTTAAATTGAAAACGTGTTAAAAGAAAAATGCTTTGGAATCAATTGATTTGCACTAAAAGAAGGAAGTCTGCTTCATTTTTAATCTTTTTTTTTCTGGAAATAAATTCAAAAGAAAAAAAAAACTCAGACTTAACTTTGACTCATAGTTACAAAGGTATTTTATTCAGTCCCCTAGTTTGTATTGATTACTCACCAAATGAACAATGTAGAAAGAAAGAAAAATAAGACCCCATAGAGCCAGAACCTATTGGCCATTGATGCCTTTAATGCATCAATGCATTAAAAGCACTAGGTCTTAAAGTGAGACTAAATCGGTTCAACATTCAGTCACTGCATGTTTAATAAATAGATTGGTTTTAAAGAATTCAAAGAGGCTCCCTCTAAACGCACCAATGAACAGCTTTTATTTTCAGGTGGCTTTATTTTGTCAAAGATGAATTCAGGAAGATCGACCGAGGTATAAGCACCAAACTCATCATCTCCAGCTGCAGATTACAATAAAACATTCCCCTAAATCCTCTCAGTCTTCTGCTGAGTCACATCTCAGCCACAAGCAGCGGATGATTCAGTGTTCGCTTTCGGGACTTGACTGTATAATCCTGCAGGGCGATGATGAAATAAAACAGATCAGAAACGTATTTGAAATCATCAAACTCAAGTCAGCCAATCAAGACCTTATAAATCCTGAGATGGTAACATAAATTTTCCAATGCTGGATTCTATCCAACCAGCTTTATAAGAATAAAGCGTAGATTTCGTGAAATAAACAAACCGATAGCTGTAAGTCACTTCATATATGAAATTATAAACACATCAGCACAAAGCGAGTTTCCCGCCAGCGCCTTGGGGATCAAATCCAATATGAAAACAACTCAGAGGCTTATGGGAATTTCATAAGGAGGGAGTGAGCAGTGTGTGTGCAGTCTGACAGCTGGAACACACACATTATGGTGTGTGAGAGTTAATCAATGTCGTGGGTGTGGGGCTCTGACCTTTTCTAGCTGAACCACCTGCTGCTGTTTGAGAATCAAGTGTGTCTGAGTGTGTGCGTGGGTGTGTGTGGTGGGAGCGTACCGTCTCTCCCTCTGCAGGGTGTACGAGCTCCTGAAGAACCCCAGCAGCTCGTCCTCGATGGCGGCATCGAAGCTCACGTTCAGCCGATAAACTCTCATTGGCTTCAGCTCGCGGTGCAGCACCACCACGTACATTTGATTGGCCGGGTAGGGGAAGTGGCGGTGGATGCGCATGACTCCGCCCCCTGGTCTGTTGGTCGGGCGGCCACCGGCGCCCGTCTCGGCTGCAACGGACACCCGGTCCACCTGAAAAGAGGAGAAAGAGGGATGAAGGGTGAAAATAACACCAACGGTGACATTTCAAATCAAGACACAAAACATGATGTAATCAACCTGCGACATCACTGAAGGCAGCAGCCTTGAAGCAACGCATAACATCTCAACCTTTTGAACATAAATCATCGGGAAAGCAACATTTTAAAACAACAGCAGCAGCAAATGTGGCATTTTATCAAACACAACAGTTGAACCGGTGATAAAGCCACTGTCTTATAATGTCAAGTGCTACAATTATAGGAATGGTACACCCAAAACATGATTAGCCTTCATTTTCTACTCACCCCCATGCTGAACAACACTCTGGAGTACTTTTTTGATATCTCAAATGCATCTGGAGATCTGGGAGGTTTCTTGCTGTCTGCTGACATTCAAATAATGGAGGTCTATGGCGCCCGAGACAGAAAGGTCCATAAAAGTCCACAAAAAACGTTTCAATATTCCTCCATACTGCTCGTCGAATGTATTCCAAGTGTCCTGAGTGGGTAGTATCCAGAATTTACTCGAAACGAAGTCATTTAGAATGTTTTTAGAGCATAAACAGTAGTGTATAGGATTTCCTGAAAGCGCGTACCTGCGCGATCACGACGCTACGGAAGCCGGCAGACCAAACCAGCGCATTCAGCTCGGCAAAGAACTCATGCTCTTCCTCAACACTGAAGTCCTCAGACATTTTTCTTTCGTTGTTTCTTTCTTTGCACAGGTAAACAGCATATTTCTTCTTCTACGCTTGCATTATTGGCAGAGCAGATGCTGAATGCGCACTTTCATCTGGTTTGGTCTGCCGGCTTCCGTGGCGTCGTGAACGCGCAGGTGCGCGCTTTCAGGAAATCCTATACACTACTGTTTATGCTCTAAAAACATTCTAAATGACTTCGTTTTGAGTAAATTCTGGATGCTACCCACTCAGGACACTTGGCATACATTGGACGAGCAGTATGGAGGAATATTGAAACGTTTTTTGTGGACTTTTATGGACCTTTCTGCCTCGGGCGCTGGGCACCTCCATTATTTGAATGTCAGCAGACAGCAAGAAACCTCCCAGATCTCCAGATGCATTTGAGATATCAAAAAAGTACTCCAGAGTGTTGTTCAGCATGGGGGTGAGTAGAAAATGAAGGCTAATCATGTTTTGGGTGTACTATTCCTCTAAACTGGTAAATATGGAAAATTAAAGTCTTACTTGTAAATATTTCATCCTGTAATGATGTCAAAGCACAATTCTGCAGCCTGGAAGATATAAAGCATGATTCCCAGCCTCAACAATGTAATATTGAACATATTTACGCCTATGTCAAATACAGCTGGTCCTAATGGTCAAAATGATGGTGTTGGTGAATTAAACTCTTATTTTTGGGCAAGACACTTTGGGAGACAGCTGAATGGATGGCAGCCTCATCGCAGTCTGTGTACCCAGGACAGCTGTGGCTAAGGCTAGGGATATCCCTATACAAATTTTTCCATTTTGATACGATACAAATATTGCATATTCGATAATTGTCCGATACCAAAATTGTAAACATATGAGATATATTTGTATTTCAGTCCTGACTTGTGTTCATCGTGCTCATCTTTGCAGACCAAATGTGCAAAATACTCTTGAATCAGCATGGCACGCCATTATCCACAAACTACTTCTGGCCTTCTTCAGGTTTTTATTATGCAGTAATGGCCAGTTGCAGATCACATGACCATGTGATGCAAAAAAAAAGTGTTTCCGTTGCAGTTTTGCGAAATAAAATAATTTCAACACCACAAAAAAAAAAAAAAAAAAAAAAAAAAAAAAACACCTAGTTCGAAGTTTGATCAAAGCATGAGCTTTTTTTCATATTTTACAATTTCATAATTTTATGGTTACTGGGTGTTCAGCCACTATCGAATGCAACATTTAAACCTATAAAGTTTTCAAAACTTACAGTTTAACCAGTAATGATGTCAATTAACAGTTTTTCACTGTTATTGTTGAACACCCCGACATACTAAACAGGACGGACAAACAAACGTATTTTGTTGCACAACCAAAAAAATAAGCAAAAAACAAAAACACATTATATTGAATTACTCCAAAGGCAGCAGTTTCGCTAATAATGCTGGATTTTCTTACGCTGTCTAAACATGATGTTTTGTAATGTTGAAAGCCGACAAATGATTTATTTGCCAAAACAACCCAAAAATGTGCATTACTCTTTGTCACATAGCAACAGCAAATATTATATTCAATCCTAACGACATTGAACCACCACCTAGCAACACCAAACATGGCATTTAAACTCATAACCACAACAAAATACCCCTTTCATCAGGTTAAAACATTAAAGCATCCATTTTGTCCCTCTGAAAACAAAAAGAAAAGCCTGTAATTCAGTGTAATGTGGTCCAATGTGTCATTCTCTAAGTAGCAGCAGATTCATCCAGCATCCTGTATCAACTGTGAAAACAGCTTTTTTTCCCTCCTGCAAGATCAGAAATATCATCCCTTCTTGTAATACAAAACAAAAGATTTTGTTGCTGTCATTTTTGTCTAAAAAATGCCCAAGGACACAACAACACTGAAAGCCAGAGCAAGGGCTTGAACCATTAAACCCTTGATTTCAGGGCAAACTCCTACACCCAATGCCACTGTATATAGCAACTGCACTTGGACAAACTTTATTGCCCCCGTTTCTTAAGAATTAGTCTCTTTTAAAGTATCAACATTGATCCATTTTCTGACACGTTTATCCCTGTTGGGGTCGCAAGGGATGCTGGTGCCTATCTCCAGCTGTCAATGGGAGAGAGGTGGGGTCCACCCAAGACACCTTGCCAGTCTATCGCAGGGCAACACAGAGACAAACAGGACAGACAACCATTCACACACACCTAAGGAGAATTTAGAGAAGCCAATGACCCTAATAGTCATGTAGTTGGACTGTGGAAGTAAGCCAGAGTACGCGGAGAGAACCAATGCATGCTCAGGGAGAACATGCAAACTCCATGCAGAAAAACCCTGGGCCGGGGTTATATTACTTCTGGCTGCAAGGCAGCAGTGCTACCCACTGGTCCACTATGCAGCCCGAATCTCAACATATTATTACCCATATTTACTATTATTTTACATTTAATTCATTTCATGCTCTCTAAAGTAGCCAAAAGAAGAAAAAAATCATTGTCAGTCTTGAAGGAAAGCACTGCTCTTTAAGAAACACTGAGCTTTGCCATTTAACAAGGAGACAATAAAGGTCTCACCTTATTTTTATTCTTTTTATTAAGATCTGAGGGCAAAGTAGGACAAATAGAACATCTTAATGAAAAGACTGTTTATAAATTAATAAATAACAGTTATTCTACTGGTAAAAAACAAACAGTTGACACAAGGTTAAAAGTGGTGTCGCTTAATATGGCTAATTGACCATACTAAAATAGGCTAACCTGTTAGCTACTGGGCACAGCTTATCTTCTCTTGGGAAGATATACATAGTAGTAAATGTTTTTGAGGTTTCATTTTTGATTAGCATTGACTTGTTATAAGTCATTATTTTATAAAGACAGCACTTTAGCTCGTTTTGTGGTTAATGTAATGCATTGCTAAATGAATTGGGTTTTCTGAGTCCTAAACTTGTACTCATGTTACTTCATGTTGTAGCAGGATTCAGTTTAAGTAAAAAAAAAACAAAACAAAAGATTGTATTTCATAGATTGTTTTAAAAGTGACTTCTATTATTTTTGTTATTCATTTTGGCGACAGATTAACTGTTATCTCTTAATAAGAATGAAAATTGTTATTTAAATTACAGGAAGTTGTGAGGTTGTGTGGAGATTTTTGAGGACCCAAATGCAGAGACGGAAGCAGAAGTGGTTTCTTGCATAATTAAATATCCAAAAGGTAACAGAAGTCAACAAACCAAAAAAACAGAAAAAAAATAAAATAAAATCCAGGAGACATAAGGAGCACAGAAATGATGAGGATCCAGCAAACAGTAATTGAAGAGGAGGAGTATAGAAGGAAGACTGAACAAAGACAAGGCTAATCAGCAGATTGGGAGCAGGTGTGGACAGAGGAATCTAGAAGGGAACTAGGAGAAGAGGACAGACACAAGAGGGCAACAGAGGGTAAACAAGAAAAATATAAGAAACAAAACCTAGAACACAAAATGGAAATGAAACCAATGAAAACTCAAAAAGAAAACTTAAACAGAAACAAAACCATGTAAGAAGCGACGTATAAAAAAACAAAAAAATGTTGAAATTGCAACCATAGTTTTTATTTTTTTCCAATGATTTATAGTTTTGTGCAACATCCATTGGTTACAGACCCCACAGAGGGAGTAAGTTAAGGAATTGGACCCTCATGAAATCTAGTTAAATACCCCTGTCTAAGAGTAAAAATTTTAAAAAAGTATTTTTTCATGATAAAATCTTTCAGCCTGACTCATCGACCAATATGTGTTCTTAATCATTTAAAGTAATTCATGGATTACAGTTAGTTAAAATGCTACATATAGATAATGAATTCATTATATGAGCTTTTATTATTTAATTAAATAAATTGAGTTGTAATAATTAGTTCTTTTTGAGCAGCATGCCTCTGTTGTTTGGAAGAATCATTGCATAAACCTGCACTTGTAACAACAGCCCCCGACATTTAAACATTACCAACCATTTAATTGCTTTTCCGTCTCCCAGCTGTTCCTCTGAATGTTGGACAGATTGCCACGGTGATCCGACAGAGCCCACATGTTCAACCAATGCTGCACAAGTGAATAAAAGGACAGATTTCGCCAAATATGCAGCAGCAGAAGGGAAGGAAAAGTTCTAAGGCTGTCCATCTGCCGGCCAATCGGCAATAAGCTCTGAGCTCAAGCTGACCACTTGATGAAGAAACAGAAGCAGTCAGAACAAGCAGAGGATTATATCTGACAGCAGAACAGAGCGCCTCGCTCATTAAAGGTTCCTTAAAGCCTCACAGGTGCTCTGGCTTGTCCCGGCTGATT